TCTCCAAATCTCAGTTTCTCGTTTGTAAGATGAGGCTTATGGTACCACATAGCTCATACAATTGTGAGCATTAAAGGAGTTAATAGGTGAAAAGCCCTCGCTCAGTGTTATAAAGGTGTTAATTAGTATTCATTAATTCTGGCAATAAAGAGCCAACACTGAAACCTAGGCTTTGGCAGCTGCCTCCTTAGCCATGTGGGCCTCGGGCTGGAGACTTCACCCCCGCCAGCTGATCTGCCCTGTGAGGCCTGCAGCAGCACCTTCTCCTCCGGGGTGCCGAGGATTAAGTAGGTTCCCGCCAGACGCAAGCTCAGCAAGCTCAGCAAGCTCAGCACTCCGTCTGGCTCCGCAGGTGCTCCCTGAGCTCCAGCTCTCTCCAGCTATTCCCTGGCTTCCTGGGGACAGCTAAGCCTGCAACCCCGGGGGGTGGGGGGGGTAGGAGGTGGTGTTCCTCCCTCCTTCGCATCATCCCAGTTCCCCCTCAAGATGACCCAAAAAGCCCTTTCTTTCCCTTTGGCCCCTCTGAGCCTTTGACCTCCAAGCCACTCCCTGCTCTAGTCTCTTGACCTGAAATAAAATCTGTTGTCTGTTAGCCTAAGGGGTGTGGCCATGACCGTGATAGGGGGCAGCCCTGAGAGCCATCTGGGGAGGAGCCACGGCTGCTGTGGCGGTGGGAGCTCCCTGGGTGGTGGGCCTGGCCTTGATGGCCTGACAGGCAGGGCCCCAGGACACCTGGGTTGTGTCTCCACCCTGTTCCTGGAGTCAGTGAGGCCTGGGGAAGGGGCATTCCCCAGAAACTGGACATTCCTTTCTCGGCAGTCACTCAGCAGGACAGGGCAGCGGTGGGAAGGGAGGACAGCCCGGGTGACATTCTGCCACCCACACAGGTCCTGACAATGTCACTAGGATGGGATGCCCCCGTGCAGCTTTACTCATGCCATGAAGCTGAGTCCTGGGCTCAGCTGTAATTACCTGTCTGCGAGTATCTCCTGCTACTAAACTGTGTGCTCCCCGAGGGCAAAGTACTGTGATATTCATCTCCGTGGCCCTAGCCCTTGGCACAGTGCCACGACACATGACAGAGCTAAGCAAACGTATGTGGAATGAAGAAGCAGGTGGGTATGGCGGGGCAGCACCCCAGCCCTCCCACAGCATCCGCCACCTCTGCTTCTGCTTCTCTGGCCCCACACCAGCCCCGGATGTCTCGGTGACCAGCCCTGGATGTCTCGGTGACCAGCCCCGGATGTCTCGGTGGCACCTCAACTCCCCACAGCCATCCCCCTCTCCCCAAGACCCAGAGAATGACACTGCCACCCACCAGAGACACCTTTCAGATCCCATCAACTGCAGAGTCCAGCCCAGTCCACCTCCCAGGTGGTTCTAGAATGCAACTCGGTTGCTCCAGCCCAAGTCTGAGCCCCACCATAGCTTGACCAACCGATTCCTCAGTCTCCTTCCCATGGTTCTCTTTGATTCACCCCTGCCTTCGTCCTCAGCCTCCCTCCCATGGTTCTCTTTGATTCACCCCTGCCTTCATCCAATGTGCTTCTACTCTGCCTGAGCCCTGCCTCCCTCCTCCTGCCTGAGACCTTCTGGGGCTCCTGCTGCCCCCAGGGCAAATCCATAACTCTATAAGGAGAGGCCTTGAGGATCTGGCCCCCACCTGCCTCTCCCCCACGCCTCGCTCCAGTCTCCCTCTGGCTCTGGGGTGCAGGCAGGGCCCTCGCCGGCTCCCCAGCAACTAATTTGTCCCCTCCCTTCCTAGTGTGGTTTCTTTGCCTCAATGTCTGACCTCCTTGCTCATGCCTCCACTCTCTAAAGGGCCAGAACTGTGTCTGTCTTATTTGTTGCTGAATCCCAGGACAGAGCATACTATAGGCACTCAATAGATGTCTGCCGAATGCATGAATGATTGGAGGGTAAGGCAGAGATCATGTGTCTTATGTCTCTGTAAGGAGAGTGCCAGGTTCAGTGCTCAGAACGTAGAGCTCAGTCAATTCAGATCGCATGAGTGACAGGAGGTAGAAGTAAGAACAAGGTGGGGGGCAGTGACAAAGAGAAGGCAAGACTGGCAATCGGTCCCCTGAATTCTGCCCCAAGATCCACACTGGTCTCCTGGGCAACCCTGCCCTGTTCCCCCAGCCCCACACCCACCTCTCCATCATTAACTATTTACCAACAGCAGTTCGAACACACCATTTCAGTTTCACTGTGCGTTTTCTACAACACTCGCACACATTCCCCACTCCCAGTTGGCCACACTTTGCCCAGGCTCTGAGCGGTCCCTTCGGCAGTGTGGCTGCACACAGCCTCCATTTCAGCCCTTGCCCTTAACTAGCTGGGTGGCCACTGACAAATTCTTCGACTTCTCTGAGTCAGTTTCCTCATCTGTGAAATGGGAATTATACCAGGTACCTCTCAGGAGAGTGAGGAAGACTGGGTGATGCCACCTCTGTAACCACCCAATGCAGCCGGACTCTGGGAGATGCCTAATGAGCCACACTGTACATTCCTTCCCTGCAGTCACTTCCCCCAAACCTGAGACTCTGCCTTTCTGACTCCAAGGACAGTATTCTCACCAGTTCGACCAGTCCTACCAGTGCCGCGTGGCTGCTGCAACCCCTGTGGGGGCCGCAGGGCTGGAGGGCTGGCTTGAGAGGCCGGCCTCTTCCCCAGTTCCCCTGCCCCGCTAAGGGCGGCCAAGAACCCAGGATGCCCCGGGGGCGCCCGCGGACCCTGGAAGGCACAGGGTGCTGGGGAGGCGGGTGAGGGACACCCCCAGACTGTCTCCCCCACTCTAGGCACCAGGTCCTCCGGGACCCCGATCCTCGCCCGGCGCCCAAACTCCCACTCCAGCACGCCCGGCGGGCGCCTCCTGGTGGGAAGCAAAGGCCACCGGCGCGCCTCGCTCGGCCCCGGAACGTCGGGTGACCGAAGCTGCGACCCCCCCAAGCCGGAACGGTGCTGGCATTCCGACCCTCGCAGCCCGGGAAGCCCACGACGGCTCGCCCGCACACCCCCGCCGTCCCAAGCGGCCCCCCGGGGCAGTCCGCGCCCACCCCGCACGCCCCCGTCGGTCACTGACCCATCTTCTTCAGCGCCCGCAGCCCGGGCCTCTTGCTGCCGCCGTCCGGGGGCGCGAGAGCGACCGGCGTCGCGACCTGGGCCGGCACCGGGGGCTCCTCGGGCCGGCGGCGGCAGCTCCTCCAGCGGCCGCACAGCATGGCTCGGTGGGGGCCGGGGCCGGGCCGGGGGTCTGCGCGCGGGGCCAAGGCAGCGGGGACGCCGCTCCGGCCCGGCCCCGGCTCTGCGCGCGGTCCCGAGCGGAGAAACTTAGCGGCGCGGGGAGGGAGTAGGGGAGAGGTGGTGTCGGGAGCGGGGAGAGAGGGAGGGACAAGGTCGGGAGAAGGAGGGACGGGGGGGCGGGGCCGAGGACGGCGCCGGGGGAGGTGCGAGGCGGTGGCAGGGAGCGGGGGGCGGGGGGGGACCCCAGGCCGGGAGGTGTGTCCTCCGCGAGGTGTGGGAAGGGAAGGGGGCCGGCTCGCGTCCCACCCCCCCCCCCGAGTCTCCGCGTCCGTCCGCCGCTCGCGAGTCCGCCTCCCGGTCCTGCAAGCGGTCCTCGGCTCCCGGCCCCACCGGTGACCCGAGCCTCTATTCGGGGGGTGGGGGGCCGGCGGAGGGGCAAGGATTGTCCTCTGCCACAGACACTCCGTTCTCTGGATCCTGACTCGAGGCGGACTCAGGACCCCTCTCCATCTTTCCCTTCCCTGGCCTGGCGTGAGGCCTCAGAAGGGAGCCAGACAGGGGACTGAGTCTGCGAGGCGCCTCGTGCTGGGCCAAGGGTCCTCGGGCCGGCCTGGAAAGCCGAGAGAACCCCGAGAGCTGAGCCAGGAGGGAGGGCAGCGCAAAGTGGAGGGTTGGGGGAGGGGGGAGGGAGGGGTGGGGGTAGGAAGCCTTTGCTGTGACGTCATAGGATTAACCCTCTCCGAGCCAGGCCAGTTGCAGGCCCTACAGTGGCAGAAGTCTCAAAGCTGGGGAAGATGGGGTGGCACTAAGTCTAGAGTACCCCTCTAGGCTGAACTCGGTTCTGGGTTCGAGGCTTGGCTGGGTTGGCGCCCCAGCGGGCGTTCGATTGCCCCGGGAAGGCCGTCGCATCCTGTGTAGATGTCCGGGACATCAGCCTGTGGGTGAACGTCGAGTGTGGGTCCTGGTGACCGTCTCATGTGTTCACTTACTCTATGTGAAACCATCAGACTATCTGTGCTTGAAGCGTGGGACGGCAGGACACTAACCCTGTTAGGGTTAGCAACTGCCCTAGGTTGGGTGCGGAGAGCCGGGCGCACATCGCCCCTCGGCGGCGGCCAAGAGCGTGGCATCTCAAAGAGAAAGCTTAATTCCTGAGGACCTAGATTTGCCACCTACGTGCTCTAGCCCACTTTCAAATATCCTCGACCGAGAGGTTCGACCTACTGGTTTGGGTCCTCACCCCTCTCGGGATATTCTTTCTGTACTTTTGATCCTGCAACTCCTTCCTCCAGGAATGACCTTCCTCATTCTTCTCCTGGCTTACCCTTAACGTGTTCCAAAACTCAGCTCCAGTGCCCCTCCTCCAGAACCCCTCCAGAACCCCCCCTTCCTCCAGGGCATGACTCCCTTTTTTTTTTTTTATCCCCAGCGCCTAGAAGGGTCTGAGGAACGGAGTTGAGTCGCTCGGTTTTCTGCAGGACCTGGGTTCGGCTGCCAGACGCGGGCTTCCACCAGGGGGCGCGAGGACTCCGCGTCGTTTCACTATGTCCACCAGGTGGCGCTTCCTCCCGCCTCTGGCCCCCACAAGGTCGGGGAGCCGGCCGGCGGATCCGCCTCGACTGATTGGGAGAAGCACTGCTAAACTATTTGCATTATCTTGAAAGGACCGCGCTGAGTGGCTGAGGTATAGAAGAAGCTGAAACGGGCTCTCTCATTGGCTTAAACTGCCCCCCCCCCCGCCCCGGCGTCCACATCCCGGTCAGATTGGGCCCGGAGGTCAGTCGGAAGCCTCCGGCTAGTGGCGACAGAGCACCTAAGTCTGGGTAGTGGGCGCTGCAGGGTGAGTGCCTGATGGCCGAGCGGCTGGGGTAGGGGACCCCAGGGCAGAGAGGGTGGGGGACCAGGGTGGGAGACTATCGGCCCCGCCCTGACTCCTCTTGGCTTGCCCATTCTCCTGTTTAGGAGTTGGAGATGTGCATCTAGAGAGGGAGGGACAGCGACTCTTGGCACCTTCCTCCACCCACCCACCGGGGTCCTCTCCGCCCACCCGGGCCCCACCCACGCTCCCCTGGGGTTGGAAAAGGAGTCTTCTCAGCCGCAGCTTCTGAGCTCTTGGGGTATCTCACTCAGGTATAGAGCTTAGTTTGCTCCTTGGAAAGTGGATCAGTTGGTTTACGGAGGTGTGTGTCGGGGTGGACCGTGGAGGTCCACGGAGGCTTGTTCTTGCAGAGTCTACTCACACGGAGGCTTGTTCTTGCAGAGTCGCTTAAAAGTGGGTCCCCAGGGCTCGGAGCCGCTGGGTATGGGTACCGAGAATGAAAGCCCAGAACCAGACTGCCAGAAACAGTTCCAGGCCGCAGTCAGTGTCATTCAGAACCTGCCTAAGAATGGTGAGGGCACGGGGACCTGCATTTGGGGGTCAAGAAGATTGGGGTCTGCCTCTGATCCCTGCAGTTGATGCAGATAAGTCCCTGCCTGGGCTGCCCTGGGGATCTCGTCTGCCTCCTGCCCCTGTCCAGCTGGGTCGGAGCCCTCACCATCTCTACCCATTACAAGGGTGGTTCATCCCATCTCCCTGGGGATGATGCTCTGCCTTCCACTCCCACCCCTCTGCCCAGGCTCTTACCGCCCCTCCTATGAAGAGATGCTGAGATTCTACAGCTACTACAAGCAAGCTACCATGGGACCCTGCCTCGTCCCCCGGCCTGGGTTCTGGGACCCAATCGGACGATACAAGTGGTGAGCTCCCTACCGGCCGGGCAAACAAGCCTCAGCCGTCAACCAGCCTCTCACAGCTCTCTGCCCCCCAGGGATGCCTGGAACAGCCTGGGCAAGATGAGCAGGGAGGAGGCCATGTCTGCCTACATCACTGAGATGAAGCTTGTGGCACAGAAGGTAGGGAGAGGCTGCAGGCTTCTTTCTGTCCCCAAGGTGTCAGCTAGGTGCCCTGTCGTCTGCCCTTCCAGGGCTGACCCCCATTACGTTTCCTGCACACTGACACACCTGTAGGAGTTACCACCTTCATGCTATCTCCCAGCCCTGCCTGTCTCTGGTCCCTGACTGGGCACAGGGTGGAGGGGACCTGGTTCAAGGGGGGACAGCGGGACAGTGGTAGGAGGGGCAGGCCCCTACCCACCAGAGCCCCTCCCCCACAGGTGATCGACACAGTGCCCCTGGGCGAGGTGGCAGAGAACATGTTTGCTTACTTCGAGCCCTTGTACCAGGTGATCCCCGATATGCCGAGGCCCCCGGAAACCTTCCTGAGAAGGGTCACAGGTCAGGCCCCCAGGCTGTGAGCTCCACAAGTGCTGAGTGAATTTTCTTAGGTCCAGGCAGAGGGGGCTGCTCAGTTGGAGGGGGGATTTGGGGGCAGAGGGCTCCGGGTGATGTCCCTATAAGGGACTCCACCCAGTGCCCCTGATGGCGTGGGTCTCAGGCAGAGCTCATAGCTGATGGGGAGCAGGGGTTGATCTCACTGGGAGGCACCAGTCTCTTCCCAGCCCCACCTCTGGGTGCCATGTCTCAGCAGGTTGGAGAGAGCAGGTACTGAATGGAGATGTTGGGGCTGCCCCAGAGCCTCCCTGCCTCCCCAGGGAACCAGCATCCCCAAGTCCAGGTCAGTGCCTGGGCCAGAGGGGCAGAGAGCCAAACCCAGAGCAGGGGTGGGTGGGGGGCTTCTGGTGGGGTGGGTAAGGGGAGAAGGCTGGATGCCACGCCTCATGCTCACAGATAGTGAGACCTGCTGTGCTTGCAAAGGCCGGGGGGCAGGTTCTGGGATTCCAGTCCTAGGACCTCACTCCTGGGACCCGTCTCTGCCTCCTGTGGCAGTGTCTCCAGTGCCCCCTGAGCAGGTGCCTCTGTCCCATTGCACACCCCTCTCCTTCTTCCATAGCCTCCCTCTGTCACTAATGTTACCTCTCCCCTTGCCTAGAGTCCCAGCCACCTAGGGACCTGGACTCCGAGGTTTTCTGTGATTCCCTGGAGCAACTGGAACCTGAGCTGGTGAGACTACCCCTCATTCCCTGCCTTCCCCACTCCACTGGGCCCTTGCTGCCCTACCCCCACCCTTGGACCTGTGCCTCATCTCAGCAGGTTTGGACAGAGCAGAAGGGAGCCCCTGGAGGAGAGCCTGACACCAGAAACAGCTCCATCCTCCCTGCAGAGAAAGGTGAGCCCTTGCCCGACCCTTCACCCGCTTCTGCCATTCCCTCTGGTTCTGGTGTGCCCCAGGCTTTCCCCTGACTGCCCTCTTGGGGCGGAGGTCAAAGTCTGGCACTGGGCACTTGCCAGACAGCCAGTCACCAGCCTGGATGGGCAAAGTCCCTGCCCGGCCCCCTCTCTGTAGGCTTCCCATGTGAGACTGTCAAAGGACACTGATTTCTGTCCTGTCTCCTTCTAGACCTTCCAGCGTGCCATGTCCTTTAAGGGGCACTTTCATAAATATTATCTCCTTTATTCCTCTGAGTAAGTAGGTCATTGAGCAGCCCTGTGAAGGCAGTGACCTCTTCCCCTAATTTTCAGATGACAAAATGAGGCTCAAAGAAGTTTCTCACTTACCCCAAGTCACACAGCTAAGTGGCAATGCTGGGATTCAAACCCGTGGCAGCCTGTTACTCAGCCACTCGAATGGACTTTATAAAGCGCACCCTTTACAAGGGATTGCACTCTCCTATTCCTTTTCCCCAGGCCCGCCCCAGCCTGCCACCACCCTGTCCCTAGCTGAGTTGCCTCCTGAGCCCCCTCCCTTGTGTCTGTGCTCAGCAGAGGGCAGCGCACTGAGGCCCCAGGAATTGGACACGTGGCTGGTGGGGACAGTTCGGGCACTGCAAGAGAGCATGCGGGATGTCCAGGGGAGACTGCGGAGCCTAGAGAGCATGCCCGGCCTCCCCAAGCAGGTGAGCTGCCCCCAAGGCCCAGGGCGAGGTTGGGGCAGAACGCCATGGGTCTCTACTCCAGGCCCCTCACGGAGCCACTTCCGTCTTTTTGTCCTGACTCTCCACCTGCCCACATCTGTGAGAACAGATGTGCCCACATCTGTGAGAACAGAT